TTTTTTTTTTTTTTTTTTTTTTGTAAAGTAGTATTTGGATTCAGTAGGAGTCTTAAATTTTCTTATCAAAAGTGACTAGGAAAAACTGTCTCCATCAACATGTTCTTTATCCAGAAATGGATTTTATCCTGTCCCTGACTTTTGTGGTGTTTAAGTGCAGTTAGGGTAAMGGGATCTTCTGTGTCCTCTCCTATTTAAACCAAAAAAACCCACAAAACAATACACCCCATGCAAAACCTAATAAAAATAATATAAAATAAAAAAAATTGGCTGTGCCTGGGTTCTCAGAAATTAATCTTTTACAGTCTTTATGTTTGTTCCTTGCTCTGTTCCAAAATTCTGGGAATGATGCATCATTTTTCAAACATCTCTTTGAATTTAGCTATGTACTTATGAATTGGTCCCCCACTGGGATTTTCATCTTCTGGTTTAGAGTACTCAGATGTACAAACAAGCCCCTTCTTGTCTTTGAAGCTTGTTCCTCATGTCTATTATCTGAGCCACAATGTGAGTTAGTGTCCAGCCCTAAAGGCTGTGCTTTCACCCAAGATGCTCAGTTTTCTCGTGCTGTTCTCAGCCTTCGTGTCTAGGGCTGTCCATACTCTTGAGATGTCCTCTTTCCTTTAAGGTTCGTAAGAGTTTCTGAGTTTTTCTGATACAGAAAAAGCATTTGACTGGGGTTTGATGGGAACAAACCCCATCCTAAAGGGCTTTTCACAGGGCGAGGTGTGAGAAGGGAAAGCTGGACCTTGCAATGGTGGTAYAGAGCAAATACTGCCAGACCTCATGGGACTTCAGTGGTCAGTCTGAGCATTAGACTGCTTTCATTGCACTTGTTTTGTAGTATTGTCAGTTATGAAAAAAGTGATCAAAGAATTTGAATATGTGAATCTGCTTGCTGTGAAGTATCTGGATCCAATGTGTTGTTCCAGTCTAGGTTTTCTGGGGCTGTATCTTCTCTAGGATTGTGTCTGCTGAAGTAATCTTCTCACAGTAATACAGCAAATGACTTACAGGTCTTGCCTAGTTGTCACAGTGCCTAAAGCAGAGAACAGATCCTTATGTTTATTCCAAGAACTGAATTATTTAAGTTGTATTTATTTTACATTTTCCCTAGGCTAGTCTATATCTTTATTTGTGCTAGTAGCTTTTTTTTGTTTGTTTTTAAAATGCTTTTTGGAATGAATGTGTGAATATGTAAGTGCATAGCATTTGAATTCATAGTCTATAATTTTTCATTTCTGTCTTTGGTATACTGCTAATTAGGTAAAATATTTACCCAGTCAGGTTTGATAATAGCTAATCAATTTGAAGACTATAAAGATCAAAGTATATGTTAAGATTCTATGTTTTTACACATGAGACCTGGAACAAGTGCATGTAGTGACAGGAAAAGGAGTGGCTTCAGACTGAAAGAGAGGAAGTTTAAATTGGATATAAGGAAGAAATTCCTTACTGTGAGTGTGGTGAGGCCCTGGAACAGTTGGTTTGGAGAAACTGTGGATGCCCCACCCTGGAAGTGTTCAAGGCCAYGTTGGATGTGACATTGAGCAATTCTGGTCCAGTGAAAGGTGTCTCCATCAGTGGCAGGTGGGTTGGAGATGATCTTTAAGGTCCCTTCCAACWCAAACCATTCTGTGATTCTGTGATAAATACATCTGTTGTGGTGCTGTACTAAACACCCTGTAATGTGTTGCCTGCACATCTCACATATGGAGATAGAAATGATAGAGTTTGAATTACTTATTTCAAAATAAATATTATTTGTTTCAAAAAGTTTTCTTAAAGAAATTACCTTTTTGCCAAACCACACCAATCACAATAGAAAAAGCAAAAAGTAGTWAAAAATTCTGGTCCTCCAAACAGGAGAAATAGTAAGCCTCTGATATGGCTATGTTTCTATGAATGAAAAAAAAATCCCATCAAAACACCGAACAAAAAACTGTCAAACCTGCAGAAAACCACACTCCAAGACCACCACAGTGAAAGAAACCCTCACACTCTCCCTGATTTTAGTTTTTTTAGATTATTGTTGTCTGTAAAAATATTTTCCCTTGCAGCTAAAGAAACTTTCCAGGGAAAGTTAGAAATTATTCATACATAACTGAGTCTGTAGTAGAAAGATCTTCATGTTGAAAAYAGAAGTTAATTTGGCATTGTAAAAAAAAAAAAAAACCCCAAACCCAAACTAACTTAGATTAAGCTGAAAATAACAATGGATAATTACAGAGCCCCAACTATCTGGCTGTGCAACATCTTCACTTTGAGTGCTGAAGATCTGTAAAAGCCAGGTGGCTGCATACAGCTGCCAAACATCATCTCAGCYTCATTAGCAGTCAGTGGAGCAACATCAGAAAAGCAAGTTGCAGATGGCAGTGAAGAAAAAGGCACATAGGGACTAATAGGAAAAGTCCTTGAGTAKGTACCTTTACTTACAAAATAAAGCAATGCAGCGTAAATGTCTTAATATATGTGGAGGAAAAAGATTGCTGCTGTGAATTAAGTTTTGAGTGGAGGTCTGCTTCTGGGAAATACTAGGGAAAAACAGCTGCAAGCTTGCTTTCATTACGGACACAAATGTAGTAGAAAAGAGAATAATTATTATGGATGGTAAACATATTCTATTTTAATAGAGGATTGTTAGCTTCTCTCACACAGAGGATTTCTTTCTAGCTGGGCTCCATTCTATTGCACTGTTTAACCTTTTATTCTGCTCTCTTAATGACTTGCTCCCCTATAAAGCAAGTTMATCTACTAAAGCTTTCTTTGTTAARTATGTTTRATGTGTCCCTTAGTCCTCCTGCCTTCCATAAATGCAAAAGGTGAAGCTGGCCCCCCATGATGTGGCCATTTTAAGCTTTGATATGTACTAAATATTAGGCTAACTATTTGCCTTGTGGCTGCCTCTTGAATGGGTAGGAGCTGAATTATAATTGCTTTTTTTTCTTCTTTTTCTGAGCAAAAAATACTGGTCTGGCTTTTCTACCCAACCACAACTTTTAATYGACATTTTGCTTTTTCATCTCTGCTTGTCATCTTTGGCTGAAATTTGCCAGCCATTCCAAGTTGGGATGGTCATGTGGTGTAAAAGAGGAGGAGGAGAATGATGACTACCAGTGCAATCCTGTACATTGATAACTTTAACAAATGGGATGAAAACCTCTGGAATGTTCTGGTGGGCATTGATTTCCAAGCAGTTTGCTCAGAACTGGAATTTATTTGTAAGTGCCCCTTTATTGTGTCATCATCTGTGCAGTGTGGGTCAGCAGTCCCTCTTTGATATCTGCCACTTGAAGTTATCATTTTCTTGCTGAACTGTCAGAGAAGATAACAGCAATTTGATCTCTCAGCCTCTCAGTTGTTGTGAATTAGTTAATTAAAAGCTAGGTTTGGTAATCCTGGTCTTTTCTACTTTTCAGGGTAGTTGAACAATGGCATCATTGATAGAAAAAGCATCTCTAACTGGGGTCTGCAATTCAAAAGTCAAACGAGCTCTATAATGTCTCCTAGACTCTTTAAGAAATCATCTCTTTCAAAAAGTTTGCTGAAGTTATAAAGGAGCCTTGATGCTTTTAATCTTTTGGGGTTTATACTAAGAATTYGTCCATACCTGAGTTTGCTCACTTAAGGTTCTGTGATTTAAAATATATTTACACTTAAATTTGGAAAACTTTTTATTTATATAATTTTATTACATGTAATATTGATTGAACAAAGAAGAATTTTGAGAAAACTTTATTTATGAACTAGATTGAATTAGCTGRCTTATTTCTACTGGAAAAATCAGGTTAGATAGGTCTGAATGCTGCAGAATGTTACGAATGTTTCTTTTAATTAACCAATAGACAAATAGGCCTTCTGATAATTACTCCAAATTAGGTGAAAAATTCTTTTTAAGAAAGTGCATACATACAACATAGTTAGTTAGCATTTCCTTTAAAATAGAGATGGCTCTTTTACATGGCATAGATTGTGTTATAAGGAACAGACAAGAAAATGTAAAGCAATATGAAATTGAAGTGTTTAGAATAGATGAGTTTTTTCAATCCTTAACTGCTAATTTTTTCAGTCAATTTCAAGGAGAGRGGAGAAAAAAAACRGAAATATATATRTATGTACACAGATAGTGACAGACCTCAGACTTCATTGCCYGGTTGGCCTTGGCCTTTCTCTTTTACAYAAAGTTTAACAGGAGGTGGCAAGAGCGATAGAAATGTAATCAGTTGGGCTATTACAGAGAAATAATGGGGCTAAGTACTTTCCTGGCAGTGTGTTGCTGTTTTTATCCATTCAGCAAATGTAATTYATTTTTATATCTGTCAATAAATACAAGGCAGCTTCCAATAATGAGTTCAGCAGGGATTTAAGCTGWATATTGCTGTGTTTGACACAAAAGGTCAGCCTTGGGAAATGGCTTGAAATTAACATTTCTTGAAAACTATTTTTCCTTCCACTGAGGCTATCTCTTAATTCCAGCAATTTTCTCTGTTTGATAAGCAGAGAGAGCATACATTTTGATTATATAAAGGAGGGAGGAGGTAATGAAACTTTAAAATATTTCAACCAGCATTGCATTCTGGTGATAAGAATGGGAGTTTATGCAGCACAGAAGAGATTACCTGAAGTAGAATTGGAAAGCAAATTGTATTTACAAAAGATGGCATGATTTTTGTAATACGTGTTCAAAACAGCCTATTCACTCACATATTCTGCTGAGCTTGACTAGAAATAGCTTCATTTCAAAAAGGACAAATCTGATTGAAGGTAAAAGCATTCCCCTCTCACAGATACTTGTCTAAAGGATTTGCATTAAATTTTCTTGATGGGAGCACAGTAGTATTTTACTGTGCATCTGCATGAACGGGTAATATGGAAAATAAAAATACAAATCGTGTCCTTGATTGCTTCATGCTTCAACCACTTGAATTACTAGATTTATGTCTGCAATTATGGAAGAGATGTTGCAATATGATAGTTTGACAATAACTGTCACAGTTATATTACCAAAATATAGATTCAACTCGTTCCTGAAGTTAAGAGTATTGAAATTACATTTTAAAGACCAGGCGTACCTTCCTGTGGTTTTATCTTGGTTTTAATGTAGTCAGGGCGTTTTTAAATGTTATCAGTAATTAGTGTAATTCACAGATGTGATGTGCTGCAAATGTCCACGAGCTGTTGTACAAGTCTGTCGTGGAATACCTTGTTGTTGAAAGTATCAGCAAGATCTATGTGTGCTACTTGTGAATCCTCACATTTTTCTCCCTCTGTAGATCCTGGAGCTGGTGAAGGGAATGCATTTCCAACTGGCCTGTCAGAAATACTTCGAGTTGACCCATGATGTAAGTAGCTGCTATTCTTTATCAGCTGTTGTCACTGACTTTGTCTTGAGGAAGGCTTGGGAATCATCAATGAAGCCCAGATAATATTCAAAATTGGCACATACTTCATTAGCTGTTTTGCCTTGTTAGTTTACTTTTCAGTAATTCCAAATATTCTTTCGTAATTTTCTGCATTTATATATTATTAATACCTTCAACATTACAAGATGTAGTAAAATGTTATTCTTTCTTTCTAAGAAAGTCAATATTGTTGAATTTTACCTATTTCAAGTCACTTAACTTTTTCAATACCCTACTCTTAATCAAATTTGTAGGTTTTAATGCATTGTGTGGGTTTGATGCTTTTAGATACACCTTAAAAAAATAAACAGGATCTAAAACTTCTTAATTTAAACTAWTCTCCCAGTATGCGCATGGTTCATATTGTTAATTTTTATTTGGTATTTTTTCACATTTGTAGTCATGTGAGATTATTTTTAAAATCAGAATGAAGATTCTCAGAGCTTTCCCATTTGCTTAATTGTTATCTTGCAAAGTTATCTTGCAATTTTCTCCAGAAAACTGTAAGATACCAAATGGCCACACTCCATCTCCTGTGTGATTTCTTGATTAAAAGAACCAACTTTTGTACTGGTTCAAGATTCCTTGTCATCAAAAAAAMCCCAAAAAACCCMAAAAAACCCAGTAAAACAACAAATCAGTGAAGTACAGCTGTTCTTACAGTTTTGTTCTCTTCACAAACCAAAAAATGGAAACAGCAGACTGTGGAACAGCCCTACTAAGGATATGAATGAGGATCGGATGACCCACCCAGAGACATTTACCACTGACTTTTTGGTTCTTCCAGTTTTCACAATTAAGTGGAACTGCTTGTCTTCACATATTTTCAGCAATCATATGTATGAATGTATAGCAAAGATATACCCTGAGCCTGTGTCCARTGTTGTTTTGGCAGCTGTATTTTGAGAGGAACATTATATCTTACAGTCTTAGAAAATGTGAAAGCAAGGCTAATAATGTGGAAGGAAATTCAAAATAATGTACAATTTTAAATTTAAGTAACACTTGCTCTGTGTAAGCCCATGACAGTAGAAATAATATTTTCCCAAGATGACTATAAACYGTAAGGTCAACATTCTCCAAAAAATAAATCAGTACTGTTCATTTTAGGGAAGCTGTCTTCCCATTCTTTGATAGCCCATTCCAGAAAAGCATTATTTTTTATCAATTTTGTGGTAATATAAATATCTGTCTTTGCTGCTTGCACTGAGAATCACCTTTCTGCTTTGCACTTGATATTATTTCAGTGAGAGAAAGCAGAATGCACAGACACTGTAGTTTGAAGGGCACATGCTTATGATGGCAATTTTTTTACAGAATTTAGCTGCTGAACTTCTTACCAGCCTGCTTGGAGTGATTTTTCAGTTCTATAACTATATGCTTTATTAATTTTAAATTTTTTTTCTATGGGATGGTAAAAGATGTGTCTCTGAACACAGTGACCTTTGCTTTCAATCAAACCTTTGCTTTCCTGTATATTACTAGCAGAGTTTTTCAGTGAAAGAAATCTCAGAAGAATCAATTAGCATAACACTGATTGTTTCTTTGAGTAGGGGAACAATCTTAAGAATTATTTTGAGTAAGAGTTGTCTAAGCTTCCTCTGGTAGTTTTATTTTAGAAACATTCAAATTTGGAAAGGAAAAATGGTACATGGAATCATGCAACAATTTTAACTAACATCCTGTAAATAGCTTTTAAAAACCCACAAATTAAAACCCACAAATACCACCAACCACCTCAGAAAACATGGTTGTAGGCTCCATTCACACAAAGAGCAGCTTCTACAGCTTATTCCACTCTGTTGGAGAGAGTTTAGAATAAAATTAACAGTTACAAAGTGACTCTTAAATTGGTCTGAAGAAAACWGAGATTTTAAAGTTAAAAAAAGAGAACTAATTAAGAGCTTCCACTAAGAAAGCCAGTTTTTCACTATATCACTTCTTTTAAGCCTTTTTGGTGTAAAGAAGTAATTTAGTTCCCATGTAATGAAAATTGGAGTATGGATGAAAGCTGGCTGGGTGAAACTCATCCAGATAAGACTGAAATGAAATTCAGTGATGACTCTGGGTTAGGTTTTTGTTTGTTTTTTTTTTTTTCTTTGTGCCTTTGAGGACCATATTAGAGTGCTAGGACTGTTACTTACTTTTAAGATTTTTCAAGCAAGGTCACTGACTACAGTTGCTAATTCGTGTCTGAATTAGATTTTGTTATCCCTGTCACCATTTTCTGATAGAGCTAAGCTAGGCAGTGGTAATGCATTTAATCAGGGTTCCATTTAGAGCACACATTGATCCTCCGCTTTATGATTATTCACAAGCGGCTGAAATTTAAATTGATGGGGTTTGGCATAATAAATTAGCCACAGTATGTCCTCAGGAGACTCTGTGTGTGTGCAGTTTTTTATTATGCCTGAATTGGCACCTCCCTTCTGGGAAAAAAGGGAGCAGAAATTCCTACATTTCTAAAGAGATTTTACTTACGTGTTTTTAGATGTTTTGGAGTGTTATTTTTCTTTACTGTAGTAAAGACAGTTTGAAGTAATTACTGAATATGCCAAAGCAGTTATTTTATTTTGATAATGAAGGAAGAAAATTTCTGATGAAACTGTATCTGTGTCATGCTAACATTTACTGAGACATTTTTTACAAACTCATACGTTTTTCTTCAACAACATTGGAACTTATTAAACTGTTAATTAATTTGTTCTTGAATATGAAAAAAATTTAGAAATAAATATAATAACTTGGTGTTCCTTTCCTTTTATGTGCAGGTTGATGACATTGGGTTTTCTTTGAATCATCCTAATCAGTACTTTACAGAGAGTCAGAAGCTATTRAATGGTGGTAGAGAGCTGAAGAAGGAATTAAACAACTCAGCAAACTTTCAACAAAAAAATAATAGTCAGGAAAGTGTAAATTCAAGTTCTACTCCCACTTCTTCAAGTGCAACAACTGATCCAGAACTGGAAGGACTGGAAGCATACTTTACTGAAGACTAAGCAGCTGTGTTACTTGGGTGTTATTTGTGTTATTTTTCCTTTCTTTCATTCTTTCCCTTCTCTATTGGATTTATCCCTATATGGRGTATGCACTTCACCACCGGGAAGACACAAACATTTAGTCCTTTGAGTAAGCTGAAAAAAAGAAAGATAGAAAGATAGCTATTGAAGCTGTAATTGCATCCAGTACTTATTCTTGCTGCTTTAGGAAGCTGTTTTATATGGAGTGTTTATGGATGGGAAATGAAATTTTCTTCCTAATTATTAGGTAATTTTTGTCTGACTTACTTTTTTGTTTTCTTCAAAATGTTCAAATAKTTTTATCCCCTTTTATGGTCACTTTTCTATGTATCGCCTTAATAAAAAACTAAAAATAAAAAATTGTGAAGCAAAAGTTTTTTATATTTTCTTTTTAGCTATATTTGGGATGGGGATTAAGTAGGAATTCTTATGATCAGAATTATCCTCTGGAGGAATCTGTCTGTCTCTTCTAAATGAGGAGCTGAGGGAAATCAGATTCCTAATTTGTACCTTGACACTAAATTTAGAGAGCTGGTTTTGATGCTTGGGAGAGAACATTATCAGAGTTTAGACACCTGTATGTAAGAAAGTAATAAGAAGTTATTCTGCCAACTGACTCATCAGGAAGAAGCTAAAAGCTTATTAGCATACATTCCTTTTGAAGTTTCCTCAATGTCTGAGTGTGGCTGGAGCCTCCTGTGTTCCTGTTAAGCTAAGCAGCCATCTCAGTGAAGCTTTGGATCCCCTAAATTCCACCCATTCCCCCAAAGCCCAGGTCACCCAGCACACAAACTGCTTTCAGTCCAGCAGCAGCCATCATGCAGTGGATGGGAKCTCTAAACAGAGCTGGTATTTTCTATAATGCTGTTAAGGGTGCTCTCACRGGGATTTAAAATACCTTAATTTAATTTCCCTGTTGCTTGAGGAGTTTCAAGACTACATTATGTGCTCCCTGGAGAGTGACCTTGCTCCCTGTGCAGCCTGTAAGCACATCYTGCCATGAAGATTCACTCACCTCCATTTTTCTGAGCTTTCCTTGCCCCACCTGAAGCTTTGTTTCAGTCATAACTTTGTCTCTCCAATGACAGCCTGGCTTTGTACAGTTGTGTGCTGTGCTGCCCATGTTTACAATGATTCTGRTATTTTTCTGTGGCTAATGGCAAGTAAGTAATAAATCATTATTTTGTATAGAATGAATTAATCTATGATTTTAGGGGCCAGAGGCTCCCTGTGTATAATCAAATCATCCAAGTGCAAAGTGCCAATCCTTAAATACAACCTACAGTGTYTTGCACAAGTTTTTAGGGATAAGAGAAGAATGTATAAAGAATGTATAAATAATTATTTGGCTGTAATGTGGAATTGCCAAACAATGAAGAAACATAAGGGACAAAGCCTTTGTGCTTTCTTGGCTTACTTCATTGTTGTGAATTTTCATCACTTGATTAATAATACTACAAATTGCTTTAAACAGTATTTTCTTTTATTAGTCAGGAGGACTATRATTCAATAGCAGAAATATGTACAGATTATAGCATATAGTTACAAGTAACTAGCAAARGATTGAAATTAATGCTTTTGTTGCTGTTTGATGAAAATGACAATTTATTTTCATATTTCACACATTTTGACTATTTTGAGTTTCCTTTGAAAGCTGAGTATTTTAGAATTGATAATATGGAAAAGTGCAAAAGAGACTCCTCCTTGTGAGCTGTTGGATACCGAGGAGCTTTAAACTGCTCTGTAAATTCAGTAAGAATCACTTGTTCCACGATTATGGAGCTGTTTGAGATTAGAAAGGCAGAGTCACTAACAATATGTAAATGATTCATTTGAAAACATTTCCTGTGTTGTAGTAGTCTATTAAAATTATACTTAGAAGATAAGGATTCTGGCAACAAAAGTGAACCTGGTGTAATTATGCAGTAGTGAAGAATAGCAACAAACTCAATTACCAAATAGACCAATAACCAAAGCCCCACAAAATCACAATCCCTATTTTATAAATTGAAAAGAAAATGTGTCTGTGCAGGAAAGCATTGCAGATGGATCTCTTTTCAAGTATCAACTCTTCTAAGTGGATCTTCAAAGTAAGTATTGTATTTTGCTACTTGAATAAAAACAAGAAACACACATCTGAAATTGTGCTGGAGAAGACACTTGGGTGTTCTGCATCAGTAAAGGAGATACTAAAATACTATTTGGTTGCATTTCTGAGGGCCTGCACTGTGCCAGAACATAGCCCTGTGCAGCAATCATGCTCATGTAGGAAGCAGTTTTCTTTCTACCCAACATCTACTCTCAAATGTACTGCAGTTYGATTTGGAGATGATGTTTCAGAAGGAATGTTGGTCCAAAGCGTGTGATGTGCTAGCARCAAAGATCATAAAGCAGTGTTTGACTTCAAAGCCTTTCAGGATCTAGTGAAGGAGAGAACATCACTGTTGGGTGTTCAGCTGAAGGAGGTGTGAGGAGCTCCCAAGCTGTGACCTAAAGTGCTTTGCTGAGGTGAGGAGCAAAGGGAATGGCAGGAGCACGACAGGGGCTGATCCTGCAGCCACACACCTGGTGCTGAGCRTGCAGCATCCCTTCTCTGCATCTTTTGGGAGGTTCACTTTGGGCTAGTTGTGTTACAGCATGGCTGGAGTGGCCATTAGCAGATAGAGGAATGTGTAGAATGTGCCTTTCGTGTAAATTTCTCCCAGAAGGGGCCCAATTTGCCCACATGCAGACTGGTTGGCAGCATGAGCCAAAGCAGAGCAAATGGAGGTGACTGAGAGATTCCCTTGAAAATGGTGAACACTTCAAACAGTCTTAAGCCCATGTTATTTATCCTCATTTTGTCTGGGAGAGTCAGTTTCCCATAGCTGTTACAGTGCTATGTTTTGGAGTTTATATGAGAATAATGTTGATAAAACACTGATGTTTTAGATATTGCTGAGCTGGGCTTAATTTAAATCAAGTACTTTGAGTGTCCCATGTTCTGCCAGTGAGCCAGTGCACAAGAWGGAAGCACAATTGGGACAGCTGACCAAACTGACCAAAGGGATATTCCATTCTGCAGAATGTCATGGTCAGTGTATAAACTGMRGGGAATTGGTCAAGAGTCACCAATTGCTGCTCAGTGACAGGCTGAGCATCAGTCACTGTGTGGTGAGCGGATGTATTGTGCATCACTTCCTTCTCTTGGGTGTTATTCCTCTCTCTCCTTTTCATTGCTATTATTATGATAGTAATAATTATTTAAAAAATTTATTTTGTTTCAGTTATTGCACAGTTCTTGTCTGAACCCATGAGGTTTAATTTTTTTTGCTTTGATTCTCACCCCTTCTCCACATCTCTCCCCAGGAGTGTGTGGGGTGTGTGAGTATTTGGGTAAGCTTACTGATTGTGTGCRGTTACTGATGCTTTCCTTGTTTTCCTCAAGTACATATCAGGAAAATYCAGTGAATTACACCTAGAAAGATGTATTCAAGGTCTTAATATTTCAGTGGTTCTTTACGGTGTRTTTCACATCATGGTACTTCAGCTGTAATTTATTTTTTTAAAAGCATATATAGCACATTCTAAAATCCATATCCATTTGAAATCCTTTAAAAACCCACAGAAGAATCACATTCTTTCCACYTGCACTCTTGAAATACTCTTGTTAATGGTATTACCTCAACATCAAAACTTCTACCTGTGGTATCTAGTTSACAGAAAAAAAAGTACTTTGAACCCTTAACAGAGTTATTTGCTGAGATTTATTTAAATCCTTCAAATGCTGAAGGATTTACCGTGTTTGAATTGGACAAAGGTTATCAATCAATGGGTGTAATTCAATCCCCCAAGGAACATGAAGTGTTTATGTAGRTAAATTGATTGAAAAACAGGTATAAAAATGGTTGGGATGATGTCGAGAGTGAACTACAGCTGTGAAATATGTAGGAATAGATACCTAAATACTCACTTATTTACACAAGAAGCACTGGAAGACTTCAGAAGTGGGTTAGGGTGGGTGAAAAGCAGATCAATAGCTGAAGACTTGAAGGTGATATCAACATGTATCAGTTGTGAGAGAGCAGGACTTGGTGACTGGGATGCAAAAAAGGAAGATATATGAATTCTCAATTTCTCTTAAAATAAAAATTAGAAGTACATTGAAAGCATCACGAGATGCTGTGTTTCTAGCTGAAAGTTCACAGCCAAGTCAAAAATATTTTGTCATATAATCATAAACTTTTATTAAGATGGTTCATSTACATGGGATAGGAAAAAAGACAGCAGTATGGAAGATATGGCACAACATGAATTTTTTTAGAAGAATATTGTGTTCTGCTCAGGATTGGTGTCTTATTATGGGAGGTGTTCTGCAAACAGAAAGTCTCTGCCATGCTCAATGGCCCAACTCATGAAGTGAACTTCAGTAAAAATCAGTTTAGATTAGAAGAAATGTCTTTGCTCAAACTGAACTGATGARTGCAGTACTGGGTGAAATGTAATGGTCTCTGTTCACAGTAGATGGCCTGGCTGTCCCTTTTGGCCATTAAAGCCTATGACTTGTGGATTTATTTTATGCWTAATAAGAATTTAATCTAAGATGAWAGTGTCCTTTGTTCAGGCYRCTGCTGTAGTGCTTTTGGGTGGAATAAAGAGGCAATCTAAGAGAAAACGAAGAGTTAGAAATGCGTGATTCAGCCCCTGGGCATTTGGGTCTTTGAGGTGTCAGTGGTTTGGCCAGCTACAGTTTTCAGAGAAATGTTTGGGTGTAGAAGAATACCAGGAAGCCTGCTGAATGGCTTTGATTCTAATCTGGTCTTTGGTGTTGGAGCATAATTAAGAATATATAAAGTTCTTAACATGCTGTAGGTAAAAACCAGTAACATTGGCAGATACTATATGACTTTGAATGGAAGAAAAGGAGAATCCTTGTCAACTGTGGCTTAAGAAGGAGATGAGGGTTTTTTTACATTGTCTCTCTCTGTCAAATCAGGAGGCACTGTTGAAAGTGGTTATTTAGAGTGGTCAAATTTTCTCTTTATTGTGATATACTAAGGCATGGTTGAAAAACTTCTTTTTTCAGGATCAAACATTAATAGATAGAAATTAATACTAGAAATAGAATTCTTTGCAGTTGGGAAAACTTTCCATTTGAATTTAGGTATTCACCTATGGTCTTCTCAGTTTCATCACTAGTGTATCAAGAATAACAAGTACAAATATCCRAATCAACATAWAARTAACAAAAATAAAAATAATTATTTAAATATGTGCTTCAAATCAGTTGTAGGGTGTACAATCAAAGCTACAATAGTTGAATATGTTGGTGGTGCAGCCATAATCTGGTGAGTGCAAGCATGTATGAAAGAAGTGCAGCACTCCTT